TAAAAATTTTTCAATTATATTCGAACTCTAATTAGACGTCTATTCGGTAGCTATGGTTGTGGATTGTGGTTGTGCCTGTGGATATTGATGTGCGTATGGGTGTGGGTGTGTGCCTTTTCTTCATCCATCCTCACATGCATGCCCGCATTCATATCCATCCTTTGGAATCTTCGTGGGTGAGATGCTTCGGCTATCACATAGATGAAGTTAGCCCCCGATTCGAGTAATTCCAGCCCGGATTCACGCAGGATGCGCTCCAGGTGTTTTCATTTGTGTTTCAAGTAGAGATCGATGTGCTCTATCGAATGGTGACATCGCATTGATGATATCGCAAACTATTCCATTAAAAGTTGAAAAACACAGATTTTTCCTCAGCGCAGTACGAAATCCGAGAAGTCGTTCCAGCTCTTATTCGCTCATGAAGCGTTCCAGGTGCTCTCATTTGTCTTCGAAGTAGAATTCGACGTACTCTATCGAATGATGAAATTGGATTAACGATATCTCAAACAATTCGTTTACAAGTTCAAAAACATCGGCTTCTCACCACAGGCGCCAGGGGACCTCCGAGTAATTGCAGCAGCGAATTCGCCCAGAATGTATTTTAGGCCTTTTTGCCGGTGTTAGTTGGTAGAGTATACTGAATTCTCTTTATAACATGAATAGGGGAACTGAAACACATTCTGAGCAAATCGGTCCTAGAATTGTTCTCCGGATTCCCTATGACTTATAGGGAGAGAATATTAAGAGAGGGTGTGTGGGTGTGGGTGTGGGTGTAGGAGTGGGGGTGCGGGTGTAGGTGTGGGGGTGTGAGTGTGGGTGTAGGAGTGGGGGTGTGGGTGTAGGTGTGGGGGTGTGGGTGTGGGGTGTGGGTGTGGATGGGTGTGTGTGTAACTACTCTATTCATCCACACTCCCACCCACACCCACACCCACACCCACACCCACCCACGCCCACACCCACACTCACCCCCACACCAACACCAAGAGATGGAACCGGTACCGGTCTGAATTTTAGAACGACCGGTCTAAGGGTCCAAACCGGTCTATCGGTTCGAACCGATCCACCTGTCGAAACCGGTCTGACCGATCTAATCCGACCTATACTGGTCTGTATTTTTCACTTTCCTGCTCTATGATTGTATTCAAGGTACGAAGGTAACCCACAAGAGAGTTCACTGCACAAGAAGATTTCATTTTAAGCTTCAGCCTGTTGTCTGTAGATCGATATTTTGTCGATAGGTCGGGTTTTCCTGATAAACTTGAGTATCATCAGTATCCCGGTCACTACTGGCAGACCGGTTTGGACCGGTAGCCTGGTTTGAATCGGTAGACCTGTTTGAACCGGTAAACCGGCCGGTCCGGTCCGGTTCAAGATTTTCAGATCGGTACCGGTATCATTCTGGAAAAAAAGTGGACCGGTTCCATCTCTGCTCACACCCACGCCCACACCCCACACCAACATCCAAACTCACCCTCACACTGACACCCACACCCACAGCTACACCCCACACCATCTTCTCTTTCTTATATAGATAGATCGGAATCAGTAGAAATGATTCGAGCAAAACTTGCAATGCAATTCTTATGAGATTTTCGTCTCAAACATGATGAACTCACTTCAATCAACAACAGATCATATCTGAATGAGTAAAAGTGGATTTTTTTTGTACCTCAAAATTTTAAATTCATACAAAGCTCGAAAATTAATTCAATTTCTAAGATCAAAAGAATCCAATTTTATTCTCAAGAGATCGTATATTGAGTCTCATGACAGATATGTCGGCATGCTATTGAGAATTTTTGGACCTTGAACTAAAATTTCAAAACTCAAAAAACCTGCTTGTCTTTCCCTTCAACACGACATTTTTGCCTTTTCACAGATACTGAGATGTGATATTTTTGTGATGGTTCATGATCAATATCACAAGAGTCTTCGTGTGTAATTAAATCAACTCCATCGTATTTTATATTTTGTTTCCATTGTTATTGCGCTGAAAGCTTTTTAAATCAGAAATACAATAATTGGTCTTGATATCAAGGTATGACTAGGCCTTGCTATTACTCGTTGATGAAATAAAAAAGCAAAGAGACGGCTTAATTCTAAACTTTTTGTACCAGTAAACCCACGAATGCGTATGGGCTAGTTGAATAGTCATATCCACACTTACATATGATTGTTTATTTCAAATCGATGTTTTTGTATTGCATATTATTCTCATCGGTTTGACATTCAATGAATGCATCACGATAATTATGTTTACATGACCCTTGAGAGATTAGAATCATAGGACACTTAGCGCGACTGCAAAAGAATGGTATTCAATCGAAAATAAAGTGTTCATAATTCATGTTGAAAACAGTTTATTAGATATGGTACAAAATACTCAACTAGAATGTCATTTGTTTTGATATCTGACTGACTATAATCTGAATTAGAAAGTCTTGTTCATTCATAAGTCTTATCACATTCTCGACCATAGTTGAATGACACGCATTTATTGAAGCATGACCTAGCACAGTATATGTGTAATATAACGAAGATTTTATTCTTTTTTCGTTCACATTTAACTTAATAAAATTTGTTAAGCACACTTTTCCATTAATTGAACGAATTCTAACCACACAACTGGTTCAAATAGGGCTCCTTTGGCCATCCACATGATAGTTGCAATGTCTTGCGGTGGAAGATGGCAAAATGTCTGTTCTGGATGGTTAGGATCGGGTTGAAAATAACAGCCAACATGTGAATCGAAACCTCGCTTTTTTATTTGTGAACAAGATGCATTTGGATTGCTCTCCAAATAAGTCATCATCGTTTTTTGAAGACAAACACGCGCATCATCCTGCCATGCTTGATTAATAAATTTATCCTTATGAGTCAAAAACGACAAGCAGTACTTGTAGCTGAATTTTTCCACGTATCCTTCACTACCACATGGAGAAACCTGTTCCAAGTCACTGTGGAATTTGCAACTGCTATTGCTTATACTTGATTCTAGAAAGGCCAAGTTGCTTGGGGTCAGTTTCGGCGTGATGATACGCGAAAAACTCAATTGAATCGAGCCAAGCACAATAAAAACAAGAAAAATAAGCATCTTGATATCAAATGTAAAACGACAAATGAATGATCGAGTGTTACTCTGATATAGCTAAGGAAAATACAGTTATACACAAAGATTTTAATCCCGAACAAATGCATTTATATGGCAGTAATTTTTCAATTATGAGACTATGAGGACATATCACATTTCACGATGAAATTAAAACAATGAATTTGAGTATGAAGAAAAGCAATTTGGCAAAAGAAGCAGAAATACAAAACGGATTTTTAGTGCATTGATTGATTACAAAATTGATGGCACTCTATTCTGATGCATCTCAAATATTTAATTCAAACAATAAATCAATAAAGTCATAATCAAGATGAGAATGGAATTGTGTTTGTTATAGTACTTGTCTTTCATATTCAATATGTGGAATATTTTACCGATATCAGTTAGTTGATTCTATTGATACTAAATTGAAGATGAAAGAAGGCTGAAAAAACTTTGTAATAAGTAAATGATTTTTTTTCAGCGTATAGTAATCATTTCATTTCCCAAATGATCTACTTTCTTCTTGCAATATTGTGAAACTTTGTTTTTTGCTTTTATAAAAAATGAAAGCTTCGGAATTTTGATCATTTCAAGAAAAATAGAACATCTAAAAAAAGATTACTTAAAACTGAGTTTGGACTACACTTAACTTGCCCATCTGTGGTGTTTTTCAACAACATAGTAAAATAATGTTGGCTTTAAAGTTGTACAAGAAAGTATTGAAATGAGAGAATCTACCGCTTGTAACGAGTCATTCGTTGATCACCACTATAACATATATCAATAGTGAACAATATTTCAGAGACACTCAATCACATACGCAAAACTCTCACAATTTATTTGGCAGTTTTACCTGAAAACAATCCGCAATTACTTTTAATATACGAGAATATCGAAGGAATGATGCAATCGATAGCTTGAAGTTATGTAAGTTGGAGCAGAGACCGAAATCGAGTAATTTAATTCGATTCAAATGGACTTGGTTGAATCAAATTAGAATGAAAGTTTTCTTATTCTGCATCCTCTAAACTTAATATGCATATGTTTTCAGAGAGTGTCGTCTTCGAATCAAGACACTCATTGTACAACGTGGTCCAAAAGTAATCCGGTAGTCTTTGTTAGGAACAAGATAGAGAACTGCGATTTTCACCGTTCGAAAGAGAAGATGAAGATGCATCAAATTATATATTATAGATTTTTCTTAATTAATTTTCTTAAAAAAATTGTCAAGAAAAATGCAAAAAAGCAATTTTTTCACAGATAATTCGGCTCAGAATTTTGAGTAGAACATCTGTGACTCTCAAAGCCTGGCCTTTGGACAGTTATGTAGGTTTTCGACAAGCAATTCGAATGCACATCTGATCATAAAAAGTTCAGCTGAGTCACCTTATGGAATACGTTACTTTTGAAAAACATCGGTTTGAGTCCTTGAAAAAAAAACTAGGTTAAATTATCTTATAGTATACAATTCGATGCGTCTTCATCTGCTTTTTCAAACGGTGAAAACCACAACTCTCTATCTTGTTCCTAACAAAGACTACCGTAGTTACTTTCGAATCATCCCGTATATATATTCATTTGATAATATGTACATCAACAATTGTAATATTTGTACATCATTTTATGCCAATCGCTTGGATGTCGACAATATTATCATTTATATTGATTCATTTGATACACTTTAATATCCTTCTACGTCGTCCATTCATTTATTTTTATTGGCTTTAAAAAAAAATTATATGCAATTCATGTTGATGAAATTGCAAGTAATACATATCGGTCGATAATCAAGAAAAACTTATCTATGTATTTTATTTTTTCAATTTATTAAGTTGCACAAAAAAAGTCAATTATTGAAAGCGAACAATCAACATTCATGTAAAAGATATCTTAATGATAAAATTAATTATTTTTTAGGCCAATTCCATCTTGATGGTAATATATCTTGATATTCAGCTGTATATTGATTTGATTTAATGAATTCATCCAAATTATCAGGCTTGGGATAGAGAGCAGCTAAATTATGAGCATAAGCATATTCAGCAAGTTTAACAGCAATAGATCGTGACACATCATGAATCTTTTCAATAGATGGATAGACAAGACCAACAGCTAGATCTTCTTCTGTCACTAATTCTGACAGAGTTTTTGCAGCAATATAAAATAATTCTTCAGGTATGTGTCGAATACGGCAAGTCACAACAGCTAAACCAACACCAGGAAATATGTATGAATTGTTACCTTGACCAGGCACGTAAGTTTTGCCTTTGTATTCAACATTTGGAAAAGGTGAACCTGATGCGAATACACATTGACCATTGGTAGCTTCATAAGCTTCTAGAGCCGTACATTCAGCTTTCGATGTTGGATTTGAAAGTGCAAAAATGACAGGATGTTTACTGAATGATGCCATTTTTTCAAGAATATCACGTGTAAATGCAGGTCCTTGTCCAGCAGCACCTATAAGAAAATAAACAAAAAAAAATTTGAGATAAGTCAATTAAATCAAATGAATACCAATGAGAAATGTTGGTTTGATTGCATCAACAATGTCTACTAATTTCGTAATTGATTCTCGTTCGTGTGCATAACGTTTCTTTTCTTCGTTCAATCCACCCGTTGGACGATTCTAATAGTAAACATTTTATATTGTTGACGAAACTATAGCAGAAGAAAATCTACCTTGACAACAAGACCTTTTGAATCAACTAAAAATATTGTCTTTCGAGCTTCTTCAGCACGTAATCCTCCACGTTCCATGGCGAGGACGAGTAAATCTGCAATGCCGATAGATGCCTAATAGAAAGAGAAATAAGTATAGATCACAAGAAAATATCACGGACTTCGCCGGCTCCATAGAAGAGAAATATGTTGTCGCGTAATTTTTGTTTTGTAATTCGAATTGAACTGAGAATACCAGCAACAGCTACACTAGCCGTACCTTGAATATCATCATTGAATGTACAATATTGATCTCGATATTTTTCCAAAAAACGAAATGCATTATGATTCTATTCAAATAAAATAATTACAGATTTTATTAATGAACAAATATATACTGCAAAATCTTCAAATTGAATTAGACATTGATGTCCAAATCTATCATCAACAAACAAATGAAGAAAAAAACAAAAAGCGTCAAAAATACTGAAATATTACCGTTTAGTAACTGCTCGCATGAATTCATCGACAAAATCATCATATTCTTTGCCAGTAACACGTTTTTGTCGTAAACCTAAATAGTATTTGTCGTTGAGGAATGTCTAAACCGTTTGTTTGGAATGTAGATATGTTAATAATGAACAAACATTTGCTCACTTCATTATTTGTTCCCACGTCGAGTGTCAATGGCAAACAGTATTCAGGTGCGACGCCAGCTAATGCTGTATACAAACTTAATTTGCCTACAGGAATACCCATACCATTGCAACCTAAATCACCTAAACCTAATATGCGTTCACCATCGGTAACGACAATTGCCTATATGAGTAACGTTACGTTTTTTGCTCCTTGAGAAAAAAAAACAGATATTAACTTACTCGAACATCATTTTCAGGCCAATTTAAAAGAATATCGTAAATGTGACCTTTATCCAAAATTGAAACAAACAGACCTCTAAATAAATCGAAGCACCAATTAATTAGTCATGTTTTTTATTTTATTCAACAACTCACTTTGGTTTTGCGAAGATTAAACCATATTTTTGACAAGCCAATCCGACAGTTGGTGTATAGACCAAAGGCATAGTTTCTTGAGTATGTTGCATAAGTACTCGATAGAACAATGTTTCGTTACGATCCTGTAGAGCAACTAACGAAATGTATCGTGATAAATCATCAGGCATATTGCGTAGATTTTCCATAAATCGTTCGACTTGTAATTCAGGTGTGGCTATTGAAGGTGGTAAAAGACCATGAATATGTAATGCTTGTCGTTCTTCGATGGAGAAAGCAGTACCCTACAGACGAAGAAAAAACATTGATTTTTATAAAATAATTTAAGAATCTTACTGACTTTGTTAGTACGTCCATCGAGTAAGACATCGCGACCAATCAAAAAGCGACGAGACGACATTGATTTTTTAACAATCGTATATCTGTCTAGAAATACAATAGATTCACGTTTTTGATATTAATATAAATCATGCATTGATGTATTTTCAATCTACAGATCGTCTTCTATTAGTGAAGCATAGGTATCACACGAAAAGAGACACCAATGAAATACACTGCTGAAGTAGAGAGGCTACGAACACCGGTAAATAATATAACGAATCCTACTGATAACAATATTGACATTAAGTGCGTGATTATTTGCACTTTACATCGTCAACGATAGTGGCAGCCTCTCCTATTTCATTTATCGCTTGTTGAAACCAACAAACATGTTTGGCTTCGTCTTTTCTTTTTCTTTTTCTTTTTCTTTTTCTGTTCGATTATCAAAGGTTGCCAGCCCTCGAGAAACAAAGCTCTCTGTAACTTTGCGAATAACAAAAAAAAATAAAATAAAATGGCGCACACCTCTTTGCTTATGATTGCTATTTATATCTTGTCGGTTCCAGTTCCAATTCTAAATAGTTGCATTCCTATTACTCAGTATTCTCCAATACGACGAGAATGTGAATACGTATGATATGTCAATAATTAATGTATATCGTCTCTTCATCTTTTATCTGTTCAATAATATAAGAGCATTCAGCTAGACATTCTCACCTCATGAACGATAGTAGCTGTCTGTTCACTCGCTCCTTCTCTGATACATAAGCTTGTGTTCTATATGAAGTAGACATAATTCGAACGATGAGATTTATGTAGTGAACATCTGCATCGAAGGTAGCGGTAACACCATGCCTTCATGATCACAATAAAATACATCTTGCAATAGTAATAAAACCCTCTCATTTTCGTTATAGCTATATGAGAGTGTGTCTTTCCTCAACAGAGAATCGTACGTACCCACACATACTCATCTTAAAATGTAAGAAACTCCTAGAGAAATATTATCTTTAGTGTGAATACGGGTATGAGAGAGTATACTTTTTGTAATTACTAACATATTTACTTACACTCACATCCCGAAAATTCAATGATCAGAAGAAAGAATAGAATGATATCATCAATCAAGAAGTCTTTTGCAAAATTCTAACAACTAAATGAGGGAGGAGATGGACCAACTTAAAACTGTTTATTCTATTCAAGTATATCAATTCAGAATTCTAAATAGTGTCCATGCACAGCGCAAAAGCATCTGTGATAAATTTTTCTTGAGAATGTAACTCATACAAATATTATCAGATAAGAATGTGGATGTGTTGTCTCTTCATTTACACATATCCATGTCTCAAATCCAAAGCTATACCACATTTGTTGCACTGCAGGTGATGGTACATTCAATATTTCTATTTTAACATTTGCTAACGGTGTATTCGAAGTGTTTGCTACAACTGGTGAGGCGCACTTAGTTCTGTTACATTTAATGTATTTCACAAAAAAAAGAATAATATAATAGTGAATTTTTCTAGGCAGCGAAGAATTTAATATATTTTCTTAAAGCAAACACGAGCAAAAATGTTCGTGTTTTAGAAAAACTTCGCCGTAAAACTGAAACAGCAAAGCGATATGAAATCAAAATTGAAATCGAATCATTTTTTTTAAACAACGGAAATTTCCAAGGAAAAATAGACATGTGACAGATCTGAAGAGTTCAAGATGGATGGATTTTTTTAACAATGAAATCAGTTGAAAAATACTCGGCTGAAAATATCAAATATAAAAACAATTCGAAATAAACAAAAAAAGAAACCATTATCGCTTCCATATTAAATATTTCTATTTTTAAATACAGGGTGTCCCAAAAATAATGATCACTTAACAAATGGATATAAC